AATTTCCTTGGTAGTTCTAAACATGGTAATGATTTCATCAGTGCGTATTGCTTTGCTGGTAATTGAACATAATGATCACGTGACTATCACGTGACATAACTTAAGACTCAAAGGCAATGGTTAATTTGTTGTTGTATTAAAATAGCAAGACACTAGGCATAGTAGTCCCAGAATGCAAAAAAAATTGGCATTTTGCTTTAGCCTCGTTTCCATGTAAGGGCCTTGTATGTCATATTTTTGGCATGCGCATTCCATGGTTCTGGAGGAAAATTTGGCATGGCTCCATATCAGGAAATATTTGTCTTATAGAGGTTAGTAACCCTGCCAAGTTTGATGCTTTTATCAAAAAACGAACAATTTTGTCCCTTAACAGCTGGACTAATTCCAGTAGGACTGAAATAAATGAATTAGCGATCAACGCATGGCATAGTGTAAAATAAATGCCAAATATCTCATTTCACGCCACCCGGCGCGTGTGAACGGATGATACAAATAACAGTAAGGTGCAGGTTAAACATGTTATCTGTCACCTCAACCTATTTATTAAGTTTGCAGTAACTTTTACCACAGACAGAATAAGAAATATCAATTCAAAATCTTTCGCAGTTATTGCTTTAAGAATCCCTTTCTATAGAGTTTCTGTATTTATAGTTCAGGTTTCCACCTGCTCCATCGAAAACAACATTTGCATGACCTCTAAGACGGGAAGCAATTTAATAAAACTATGTATTTTTTGCTTGAAATTTAAAGGCATGAAGAGGTCCTTGAACACCTTGACTGAAGCTTTGCATATCACTAACCAAATTGCAGATCATTTCGGCCCAAGAAACGCAAACAAATCGGTAAAGGCGCTTCCTTTGAACACAGGCTCTCTTACTCTGATCTTTGCGCAAGTAAAATTGTCAACAAGTTTCTTCGTAATTGTTTAGTCAAATTTACATATTTCTGCGATTTTAGGAAGATTTTCGAATCTTGCCACAGCAAAAACCTGCCGGAAAGGTGTAACGATATTTTGTCGCAGTATGGAAAGACGAGTTTGAAGTTGTTTAGTCAACTTTTTGAAAAATTTATAGCATCTTTTTAGAAACTGAAATGCCGAATAACTTTTCGGCCTCAGAAATAAGCGTGGTGTTATCCTCACCAGGACACGGCAGAACAACTTGTAAACAAAATCTATTCAATTTCTGACACTCCAGTGAAGTGTTCACTAATTATTAATATTTTTGTAAACCAACTGGTTTGAGCAAAGAATGGATCTCATTTCAACAAATAAACGAAGCCCATGCCTTGTCTCGTGCTCTGAGATAAAGCTCTTTATCCAATCAGGACACGCGGAGAATCCAATCTAAGTTTTAATCTGGAGATGAAAGATGGAAAGCTTTTAAAATCAGTAAAATTGCATTTCATTTCTGAATAAATTGTGTCATTAGATATCTTAATACATTAAGAGTTGTGCTTCTAAAGGCTTGGCACTGACAGAAGGTTGAGTTTGACAGTAAAGCTGTGATCATGTTACTAACATCGAATTCTACCATTTCTGTTATTGGCGAAGAAACTGGTCTGGGCCAACAGAACTCGACATGCATCCTTGTTGATTCTTCTATGGGGCGAATTTCTAAACTCTTCGCGTTTTGCTTTATCTTACTGGGAAGTCTTTTCGGAAATGTTTTCATAATCACTGTCGTCTACAGACATCGGGATTTACGAAAAACGATCAACTATTTCATCGTGAACATGGCCTTGTCTGATTTAGTTTTTCCGCTGATTTTACTCCCAGTGAAAATAACTGAATTAGTGACCGACTCAGGACATTGGCACCTCAGTGGAATCCTAGGATCGATTTGTTGCAAGCTGTTCTTTTTCGCAAGCCTGGTGTCTCTTCTCGTTTCAGCTCAAAGCTTGATGTGGATAGCAATTGATAGATTTGTTGCGGTAGTTTTTCCAATGAAACTTGGACTTATTTCAAGCAAGATTCGAACAATAGCCATCGTTTTTACCTGGATTTGTGCAAGCTTTGTCAATATTCCATCACTGATATCTTCAAAACTTGTTGAACGTGGCAATGACACAGTTTGCGCGGAGACAAATATGGAATCATTTCTCTTTGACAAGAAAGCTAACGTGACATATCTTTGGCTGCAGTTTTCTTTATTTATCATTGCTCCGTTAGTTGTAATAACCGTTCTGTACACTGCAATAGCAATTACCTTAAAAATGCAGGATAAAACCCTCGCGGGCACCCCTTCAAACGCACAACGACATGCTACGAAGAAACGAGGACAAGCCATTGAAATGGCGGTAGCTATTTTGGTGCTGTTTTACCTTTGTGTTATTCCAAACACTTTGGTATATTTCATTCCATTCTGGAGACCTTCTTGTGCCATTCAGAGAGTACTATATTTCGTGACGAGTTTTTCGCTTTACTTATCTTCCACAGTCAATCCAATAATTTGTCTGTCATTTGTCGAAAGCTATCGTCGTGGACTGAGAAACATTTTATGTCCGTGTGACAGAATGCTGAACGGCAATGTGACGCCGAAATTAGGACAACTAAATCTAACGAAGATGAAAACTCCCCGTGGAAAAAGCTATCGACAGCGTTTCAAAAACACAAAAAACTATAACGAAACCTTTGATACTGTTTTATAGAGATATAGTTTAATATGAGGCGCTTCGTTCCGCAAAAGCAAGAGTACCAGAGCAAACGCGGGAGTACCAGAGCAAACTTCGGAAAGAAATTAGGTATACGGCCGAATAATCAGCAAGTCAAAATGTTTCATTTTTAACAACGTAGTCACGTTCTAGGTTATTTCAACAGTCAAGTGACAAAGCTAGGACTTTATAACGAACAAAGCAAGGCTTGTTTTGTTGAAATTTACAAGTAAATCCACTGAAATCAGTTAAACACTGGAATTTGTCACATTGTCAATTGGCAGTTTTGGCGTAGTATAAAGCGTCCAAGTAGTTGCTTATACGTTGTAATAGTCTTGCATGTAATATAGAAGAAAAGTATTATATAATTTTTCACGTTGTTATTGTAAGATAGTTTTGAGCTGGTATGTAGATTAGTTGGCATGCAGGTTACGTAATTATGCTAAGAAGTTAATATTTAAGGAGTTTGTCCGTTAGGAGTTGTCACTTCGACGGCATCTCCGCTTTTGATCAGTTCATTTTGGAAATTTTATTTTAGTAAATTTCCGTGTTTTTGTTTACTACGTTTATTGTGTTAATAACTATCCTAGGGCAATTTATGTCTGATCAATAAACGAGATGCCCCCTCCTATATGACTGATATTTTCTTACATATACTAAGTTAGAAATTATTTTGTTTTCGTTTCACTGCAGAGTGATTAGACAACAAAGCTAGTTATTAAAAACGATGCTGGTTTTAAGCTTGAGAGGCCAGTTTCGGAAGAGCTTTCTGTATTAAGCATTTCAAATGATCATCTTTGCATGTTGCAATAGCTATTGAAACTATTTGTCTGAGATCCTCTGCTAGCTTATTACTTCCTTGATGTTTGTAAACATGCCTTCAGAAGTTTTATTGCACATGCTATTATAAAGACAAATGAATAGCACTATTTCGAATCAAGTTTAAGAAGGAATCCACCAGAAGTTCGAGTAACTAGTGGACAAAAACTTCGTACCAAGACTATTTGCATCATATTGCAAACTTCTGTTCGACTCTTTCAAATATCTTCGCAAAAGAAATCATTTCTAACAACACCAAATGTCGAAAGCAAATTTTGAAGTTCAGGTGAAACACTTGAAACTACTGGTGAAGGACACTGGTGATGAAATTTTACCTGTGTTTGCACAATTTCTCTGAACTTTGAAATTTATTTTCTCGAGTTGCTATGGGAAATTGTTTTGGTGTTATTTCAGGCAATCATTTATAGCCGTTTAGCTTTTAGAAAATTCTAAAAGGATGCTCCACATAATTCTGGTAAAAGATTTTTGTCCATTAAAAACTTAAAATTGCTCGATTTCACGGCGAGTATGGACACAAACAAAGCAGAAAGAAATTCCACTAGAAATGCTCCGCTCAAGCAGCTGTAAAAGAATATCCTCGTTGCCCTTGAAATGATTCAATTTGGATAAGGTTATAGGAGCCAAGGGGAACCCTTGCTACATTTTATATAAAGAGATATACGGCTTGCCTAATGACAGCAGAAATTTGCGACTCGCTATACTAAACCATCATGACAACTTTCTCATTTCAAAGTTGCTGTTATCAACAGTAGCGGATTAAAAAAGGCTGTAAGGTTGATTATATTGCCCTTGAGCATCCAGCTGACTTATTGTAAATATTGCTCAATGACAGCAGGGAAACCTTTTTCTGTTGAGTTTTAATTATGTTTTACTGCTCGGAATGTCAAGTTGCTTCCTCTCCAAGACTGTCAAGGAAATGATTTGTTTGAAAAAGAAGGCAAAGGAAAAAAACAACAACAACCAAAGTGGTACTACAGTCGGTTTATTCCACAGCAGTTGTATTGTTTAGTACACGAATAAAGTACTTTGTACTTTTTTGACTAAACATTACTTTTGGTTTCTAAACCAAGTGAAATCCTTTCACGAACTCAATCTTCCTTTATCAGAAATGAGAGAAAGAGCGAAAACTGAGTTTCCATTACTTTTAAATTAAAAATTTAACTGATGACTTGGAGCCGGAAAAATTAAAATTCATTTCCATTTATATTAGTTATTACGATGCTATGAATGCATTTGCTTGACGCCTTGTTTTGGACGACAGCACGCTTCTGAAAAACGAAGCAGCGGATCACGTCATTGAAAAAAAAAACAAACAAAAAAAAAAACACACCACCATCACTTTCATTGGGAACGAAACTGCCCTGGGGCAACAAAACTGACCATGTATTTTTATTTATTCAACTGCGAGAGAATTTCTAAACTTTGGGCATATTGCTTTATTTTATTTGGCAGTTTATTCGGAAACATCTTCATAATCATCTTCGTCTACAAGCAAGAAGATTTACGAAAAGCAATTAATATTAACTATTTCAACGTGAACATGACCGAGTCCGATTTGCTTCTCTTGCTGGCTTTACTTCCTGATCAGATGAGTCAATTGGTCACTGACTCATTGCATTGACGAGTCAGTGGAATCTAGGATCGATGTTTTGCAAGTTAATTCATTTTGCAAGCTTAGTGTCTCTATTTGTTTCCGTGTTCAAAGCTTGGTTTGGATAGCAATTGATAGATTTGTCGCCGTGGTTAACGTTTTTCCAATAAAACTTGGCCTTGTTTCAAGCAAAATTCGCAATATAGCTATAGTTTCCACGTGGATTTTAGAAGGCGTTGTCTATTTTCCATCGCTGGTAATTTCGGGACTGGTTGAACGTGGGAATAACGCGCTTTGTAGTTTAGACAGCAAACTATCAATCTTTCCCAACAAGGAAGCTAGAGAAGGATATTGCTGGCTTCATGTGACCACCCGCTTCATCGCTCCGTTATTTATGATAACCGCTTGTATTCTGCGATAGCAATTGCCTTAAAATTAAAGACAAAATAAAGCCCTCACGGACACCTTACCAACTGTACCTGAACAACGTTATTTAAAGAAGCCAAGACAAGCTACTCAAACGGCGGTTATCTTAGTACTATTTTATGTTTGTGTTATTCCATACACTGCATTTCGTTTCTTATTACCCTGGAGACGTTTTTGTGCCTTTTAAGATCATTTCAGTTTCCAGCGAACTTAATGTTTTTCTCATCTTCTATTGTTAATCCAGTAATTTGTCTGCCATTTGTTGAAACATATCGTCGTGGATTGAAAAACATTTTGTCCCTGCGGCAGAATGCGGGACAATATCTTGCTGGCAAAACGAGAGCAAGCGACTTTATAAGGGATACAAAGCCTCCACCAAGAAAAACAACAACGAGCTTCTAAGGTCAGCAGCATCTTCCCACAAACATTTAGTCCCGAAAATTGTTATAATTTTCAGCAAGACATTTTATTGGAGCAATTAGTAAATATCGTGTTTGTTAACCGCTGACTCTGACTTGTTTTTTTCTTCAATACCGTTATAAGCCATTTCGATAACATTGCGATAAACTTAAGAATAAAGAATACTAGACAATGGAAGCTGTGTGTGTGTTATGCTTAATGAGAAATTCATTTCCATTTTCTAAATCACATCAACCATGAAACTTCTGGCAATTTCTGAATGGAATGCACCCATACAGGAATTAATTCGCTAGTACTTTATTTAGGTTGTCATTTATTTACAGAAAACAATATTGACTTTTTCTTGTGTCCTAAAGCTTGACTCTGGGTGATTTTACAGTTGCTTTATGAACCGCTAAGGTTTAATAATGTGCAATATACCTAGGTCAACAAAGGCCCGCAACATATCCTCTCCTCCCATCTTTTTGAAGAGGAGCGAAAATTTTTCCTTCCCTTCATTTATCGAGATGGAAAATTCCACCCTTTTCTGTATAAAAATAAGTTTTAAAGTAATATACCAAACACTCGAGACTGTGTTTTACCACATTTCCAACACCAAGAACAGAGTCGAAAGGACGTCGGGCAGCGGAGTATTTCTGCTGACGAAATTCGAGGTGCTTGGAAATGTGGTGAAACGCTGTCTCGAGTCTTTGATATATCTTCTCAATCGAAACTACGACAAAAGAAGAAAACGGAGAAATAAAATTCTAAAAATCTGTTAATTAAGAGCAGACCCCTTCTCAAACTTATTAGCAATTCAAGTTTAACCAAAGAAAATCAGTCATAACCATTACGACCTGACATGCACCGCAAGTGCTCCTCGAGATTTGAGACCAGAGGGGACAAGCAATATAACGTTTAGCGAAAGGCGGAAGTTTCCGACCTGCTATTGACCATCATGCCAGCTTTCTCATCTCCGGTTGAGCCCCTTTATCCATTTTAATTTGATGAACATTCATTCTTTTTATCTTAACTTAATACCACTAAACAGGGAAACTCTTTTTCTATTAAGTTTTAATGAAGTTTTATTGCTCGGAATGTCAAATTACTTCCTCTCTGAGAGGTCAAAGAAATTATTTGTTTGCCAAAGTACATAAAAAAAAATAGTTTCTCCCACAGTAATTGTGTTGTTTAGTGCACGAATACGGCACACAGTCATGTTGTCTCTACGAACCTTTACTTTTGGATTGTACACCAAATGAATTGTTTGCCTGATTCAGTCTTTCTTTGACTGATAACATTGAACCGGTAGAATTACCTGAATTCATTTCCGATTAAATTGTGACAAAGGGAGGATGCATTCTACTTTCTTCTTCTGATCCAAAACGCTAGCGCCTAAAGTACGTGGTTGAAAAGCAAAAGAGGAAATCATGTCGTTGAGAAACAACACCACAAACTTGGTAACTGGGAGTGAACCTACACTTGGGCAACAGAACTGGACATGTATCTTTGCCGAATCGAATGCAGAGAGAATTTGTAAACTTTCCGCTCTTTGTTTTATTCTACTGGGCAGTTTTTTCGGAAACATCTTTGTAATCATCATCGTCTACAAGCGTCGAGATTTACGAAAAACAATGAACTATTTCATCGTGAACATGGCTGTCTCTGATCTGCTTTTCCCACTGGTTGTAATTCCTGATCAGATAACTAAAATCGTCACTGACTCGTGGCATTGGCACGTCAGTGGAATCTTAGGATCGATTTTTTGCAAGTTGTTTTATTTTGCAAGCTCAGTGTCTCTACTTGTTTCTGTTCAAAGCTTGGTGTGGATAGCAATTGACAGATTTGTCGCCGTGGTTTTTCCATTAAAACTTGGGCTTATTTCAAGCAAGATTCGCACAATAGTTATAGTTTCTACGTGGGTGTTAGCAGGTGTTTTCTATTTTCCATCGTTGATAACTTGGGAGCTTGTTGAACTTGAAAATAGCACGTATTGTAGTCCAGTGAACATAAAATCAGTTTTTCCTAGCAAGGAAGGTGGTGAAGCATATAACTGGCTTCATGTAACCATCCGCTTTTTGGCCCCTTTGTTTGTAATAACCGTTTTATACACTGCAATTGTGATTTCTTTGAAAAGGAGAAGTTCAGCCCTCGTGAATGTCGAACAATATGAACGACAACATTCTGTAAAGAAGCGAAGACGAGCTACTCAAATGGCGGTTGTTATCTTAGTGCTGTTTTACATCTGTGTCATTCCTTACACTTTGTTACGTTTCGTTCGTTTTTGGAAACTTTCTTGTGGTTTTCTGAGATCTTTTTACTCTATAGCGATTTTGATGTTTTTCTTCTCTTCTGTTGTCAATCCAATAGTTTGTCTGTCATTTGTGGAAAGTTATCGTCGTGGATTGAGAAACATTGTGTGTTATTTTTGCGGAATACGGGATAATAAGAGGGCGAAACGAGAACAAATAACTCTAGAAGGAACCAGGAATCTCCCTGGTGGAAACTGTCAACGAACTTCTAACGACACAGACAACTTCCAAGAAACATTTGACACTGTTCAGTAGGTTACTATCATGGGCCGCNTTTCCGTGTTTTTGTTTACTACGTTTATTGTGTTAATAACTATCCTAGGGCAATTTATGTCTGATCAATAAACGAGATGCCCCCTCCTATATGACTGATATTTTCTTACATATACTAAGTTAGAAATTATTTTGTTTTCGTTTCACTGCAGAGTGATTAGACAACAAAGCTAGTTATTAAAAACGATGCTGGTTTTAAGCTTGAGAGGCCAGTTTCGGAAGAGCTTTCTGTATTAAGCATTTCAAATGATCATCTTTGCATGTTGCAATAGCTATTGAAACTATTTGTCTGAGATCCTCTGCTAGCTTATTACTTCCTTGATGTTTGTAAACATGCCTTCAGAAGTTTTATTGCACATGCTATTATAAAGACAAATGAATAGCACTATTTCGAATCAAGTTTAAGAAGGAATCCACCAGAAGTTCGAGTAACTAGTGGACAAAAACTTCGTACCAAGACTATTTGCATCATATTGCAAACTTCTGTTCGACTCTTTCAAATATCTTCGCAAAAGAAATCATTTCTAACAACACCAAATGTCGAAAGCAAATTTTGAAGTTCAGGTGAAACACTTGAAACTACTGGTGAAGGACACTGGTGATGAAATTTTACCTGTGTTTGCACAATTTCTCTGAACTTTGAAATTTATTTTCTCGAGTTGCTATGGGAAATTGTTTTGGTGTTATTTCAGGCAATCATTTATAGCCGTTTAGCTTTTAGAAAATTCTAAAAGGATGCTCCACATAATTCTGGTAAAAGATTTTTGTCCATTAAAAACTTAAAATTGCTCGATTTCACGGCGAGTATGGACACAAACAAAGCAGAAAGAAATTCCACTAGAAATGCTCCGCTCAAGCAGCTGTAAAAGAATATCCTCGTTGCCCTTGAAATGATTCAATTTGGATAAGGTTATAGGAGCCAAGGGGAACCCTTGCTACATTTTATATAAAGAGATATACGGCTTGCCTAATGACAGCAGAAATTTGCGACTCGCTATACTAAACCATCATGACAACTTTCTCATTTCAAAGTTGCTGTTATCAACAGTAGCGGATTAAAAAAGGCTGTAAGGTTGATTATATTGCCCTTGAGCATCCAGCTGACTTATTGTAAATATTGCTCAATGACAGCAGGGAAACCTTTTTCTGTTGAGTTTTAATTATGTTTTACTGCTCGGAATGTCAAGTTGCTTCCTCTCCAAGACTGTCAAGGAAATGATTTGTTTGAAAAAGAAGGCAAAGGAAAAAAACAACAACAACCAAAGTGGTACTACAGTCGGTTTATTCCACAGCAGTTGTATTGTTTAGTACACGAATAAAGTACTTTGTACTTTTTTGACTAAACATTACTTTTGGTTTCTAAACCAAGTGAAATCCTTTCACGAACTCAATCTTCCTTTATCAGAAATGAGAGAAAGAGCGAAAACTGAGTTTCCATTACTTTTAAATTAAAAATTTAACTGATGACTTGGAGCCGGAAAAATTAAAATTCATTTCCATTTATATTAGTTATTACGATGCTATGAATGCATTTGCTTGACGCCTTGTTTTGGACGACAGCACGCTTCTGAAAAACGAAGCAGCGGATCACGTCATTGAAAAAATAAACAAACAAAAAAAAAAACACACCACCATCACTTTCATTGGGAACGAAACTGCCCTGGGGCAACAAAACTGACCATGTATTTTTATTTATTCAACTGCGAGAGAATTTCTAAACTTTGGGCATATTGCTTTATTTTATTTGGCAGTTTATTCGGAAACATCTTCATAATCATCTTCGTCTACAAGCAAGAAGATTTACGAAAAGCAATTAATATTAACTATTTCAACGTGAACATGACCGAGTCCGATTTGCTTCTCTTGCTGGCTTTACTTCCTGATCAGATGAGTCAATTGGTCACTGACTCATTGCATTGACGAGTCAGTGGAATCTAGGATCGATGTTTTGCAAGTTAATTCATTTTGCAAGCTTAGTGTCTCTATTTGTTTCCGTGTTCAAAGCTTGGTTTGGATAGCAATTGATAGATTTGTCGCCGTGGTTAACGTTTTTCCAATAAAACTTGGCCTTGTTTCAAGCAAAATTCGCAATATAGCTATAGTTTCCACGTGGATTTTAGAAGGCGTTGTCTATTTTCCATCGCTGGTAATTTCGGGACTGGTTGAACGTGGGAATAACGCGCTTTGTAGTTTAGACAGCAAACTATCAATCTTTCCCAACAAGGAAGCTAGAGAAGGATATTGCTGGCTTCATGTGACCACCCGCTTCATCGCTCCGTTATTTATGATAACCGCTTGTATTCTGCGATAGCAATTGCCTTAAAATTAAAGACAAAATAAAGCCCTCACGGACACCTTACCAACTGTACCTGAACAACGTTATTTAAAGAAGCCAAGACAAGCTACTCAAACGGCGGTTATCTTAGTACTATTTTATGTTTGTGTTATTCCATACACTGCATTTCGTTTCTTATTACCCTGGAGACGTTTTTGTGCCTTTTAAGATCATTTCAGTTTCCAGCGAACTTAATGTTTTTCTCATCTTCTATTGTTAATCCAGTAATTTGTCTGCCATTTGTTGAAACATATCGTCGTGGATTGAAAAACATTTTGTCCCTGCGGCAGAATGCGGGACAATATCTTGCTGGCAAAACGAGAGCAAGCGACTTTATAAGGGATACAAAGCCTCCACCAAGAAAAACAACAACGAGCTTCTAAGGTCAGCAGCATCTTCCCACAAACATTTAGTCCCGAAAATTGTTATAATTTTCAGCAAGACATTTTATTGGAGCAATTAGTAAATATCGTGTTTGTTAACCGCTGACTCTGACTTGTTTTTTTCTTCAATACCGTTATAAGCCATTTCGATAACATTGCGATAAACTTAAGAATAAAGAATACTAGACAATGGAAGCTGTGTGTGTGTTATGCTTAATGAGAAATTCATTTCCATTTTCTAAATCACATCAACCATGAAACTTCTGGCAATTTCTGAATGGAATGCACCCATACAGGAATTAATTCGCTAGTACTTTATTTAGGTTGTCATTTATTTACAGAAAACAATATTGACTTTTTCTTGTGTCCTAAAGCTTGACTCTGGGTGATTTTACAGTTGCTTTATGAACCGCTAAGGTTTAATAATGTGCAATATACCTAGGTCAACAAAGGCCCGCAACATATCCTCTCCTCCCATCTTTTTGAAGAGGAGCGAAAATTTTTCCTTCCCTTCATTTATCGAGATGGAAAATTCCACCCTTTTCTGTATAAAAATAAGTTTTAAAGTAATATACCAAACACTCGAGACTGTGTTTTACCACATTTCCAACACCAAGAACAGAGTCGAAAGGACGTCGGGCAGCGGAGTATTTCTGCTGACGAAATTCGAGGTGCTTGGAAATGTGGTGAAACGCTGTCTCGAGTCTTTGATATATCTTCTCAATCGAAACTACGACAAAAGAAGAAAACGGAGAAATAAAATTCTAAAAATCTGTTAATTAAGAGCAGACCCCTTCTCAAACTTATTAGCAATTCAAGTTTAACCAAAGAAAATCAGTCATAACCATTACGACCTGACATGCACCGCAAGTGCTCCTCGAGATTTGAGACCAGAGGGGACAAGCAATATAACGTTTAGCGAAAGGCGGAAGTTTCCGACCTGCTATTGACCATCATGCCAGCTTTCTCATCTCCGGTTGAGCCCCTTTATCCATTTTAATTTGATGAACATTCATTCTTTTTATCTTAACTTAATACCACTAAACAGGGAAACTCTTTTTCTATTAAGTTTTAATGAAGTTTTATTGCTCGGAATGTCAAATTACTTCCTCTCTGAGAGGTCAAAGAAATTATTTGTTTGCCAAAGTACATAAAAAAAAATAGTTTCTCCCACAGTAATTGTGTTGTTTAGTGCACGAATACGGCACACAGTCATGTTGTCTCTACGAACCTTTACTTTTGGATTGTACACCAAATGAATTGTTTGCCTGATTCAGTCTTTCTTTGACTGATAACATTGAACCGGTAGAATTACCTGAATTCATTTCCGATTAAATTGTGACAAAGGGAGGATGCATTCTACTTTCTTCTTCTGATCCAAAACGCTAGCGCCTAAAGTACGTGGTTGAAAAGCAAAAGAGGAAATCATGTCGTTGAGAAACAACACCACAAACTTGGTAACTGGGAGTGAACCTACACTTGGGCAACAGAACTGGACATGTATCTTTGCCGAATCGAATGCAGAGAGAATTTGTAAACTTTCCGCTCTTTGTTTTATTCTACTGGGCAGTTTTTTCGGAAACATCTTTGTAATCATCATCGTCTACAAGCGTCGAGATTTACGAAAAACAATGAACTATTTCATCGTGAACATGGCTGTCTCTGATCTGCTTTTCCCACTGGTTGTAATTCCTGATCAGATAACTAAAATCGTCACTGACTCGTGGCATTGGCACGTCAGTGGAATCTTAGGATCGATTTTTTGCAAGTTGTTTTATTTTGCAAGCTCAGTGTCTCTACTTGTTTCTGTTCAAAGCTTGGTGTGGATAGCAATTGACAGATTTGTCGCCGTGGTTTTTCCATTAAAACTTGGGCTTATTTCAAGCAAGATTCGCACAATAGTTATAGTTTCTACGTGGGTGTTAGCAGGTGTTTTCTATTTTCCATCGTTGATAACTTGGGAGCTTGTTGAACTTGAAAATAGCACGTATTGTAGTCCAGTGAACATAAAATCAGTTTTTCCTAGCAAGGAAGGTGGTGAAGCATATAACTGGCTTCATGTAACCATCCGCTTTTTGGCCCCTTTGTTTGTAATAACCGTTTTATACACTGCAATTGTGATTTCTTTGAAAAGGAGAAGTTCAGCCCTCGTGAATGTCGAACAATATGAACGACAACATTCTGTAAAGAAGCGAAGACGAGCTACTCAAATGGCGGTTGTTATCTTAGTGCTGTTTTACATCTGTGTCATTCCTTACACTTTGTTACGTTTCGTTCGTTTTTGGAAACTTTCTTGTGGTTTTCTGAGATCTTTTTACTCTATAGCGATTTTGATGTTTTTCTTCTCTTCTGTTGTCAATCCAATAGTTTGTCTGTCATTTGTGGAAAGTTATCGTCGTGGATTGAGAAACATTGTGTGTTATTTTTGCGGAATACGGGATAATAAGAGGGCGAAACGAGAACAAATAACTCTAGAAGGAACCAGGAATCTCCCTGGTGGAAACTGTCAACGAACTTCTAACGACACAGACAACTTCCAAGAAACATTTGACACTGTTCAGTAGGTTACTATCATGGGCCGCTTTCTCTTAATTGGGTCTAAACTGAAAATTTAAAGCATGACTCCTACACGAAGAGCATTCACTAGAAAGATGATGAACAAAAAACAAACATGCTACTCTTTCATTATGTAGGAGTATTGAATTGAAAGTTGAGATGAATCGTCCTTTTCAGTTGAAATCATCTGTTATGATCTCTGAGTTGCAATATTCGCATTCTATTAAGCAGCGATTGTGTTATACACTTATGAAGCTCATAGCGACTATAGGATGTCTTTAATTTGTAATATAATGTTGCCGATGTAAATCTGTTTCAGTTTTTCGTGTTAATCTAAGGTTGCATCATGTTATAATAGGTTCAATTATAGTTCAAATAATAACTTTCAGTATAACTTTTAACGATTGACGCTTTTAAATTATTCACCTGATCACTGAGCTTAGCTAAAATCCACTTTTAAGTAGAATTTTGTATTGGTTGGATACACGTTCGTATTTTGATCGAACTTACTTAGTTCTTATGCGCAGCTTGTATAATAAAGTGTTGATTAATTGATTGATTCCCTAATGTCATCACAGTTCGAAAGCAGCATCAAAATCCGTAACACCTCTATGCTAAGGGGGAAAACATTTTCCTTTTTTCAATTTGAAATGGCATCCGCTCTATGAACCAACAAAATTGCTTATTGTAAAGAGACTACAAAAAGAATGATCTGAGAAACGTGGTTTTTCTCCGCATTTGGCTTCCTACCACGGTAGGAATCGCCAAGAGAGGATAAAAGGTAAGAGAAGTTAGTCGCCTCATCTCTCTCGTTACTTTTTTGACATAGGGCCCAGTCCCTCCGCGTACAATACTTCCACGAGCGTTGTCTTCGCAAGGGCTGAAAAATGCACTTCAAGTCGCTTGGGCAGTCACGGGATTGGCTTTTTTTTATACCTTCCTAGCATTTCCGACACTAGGAGTGATCTAAAAATAGATCAAGATGGATTACCTGTCAATAAGGCCAATGTGGGGAATTAACTCTCTTACCTTTATACTCTCTGGAAAGAATACATTTTGACGACTTTTTTTCTTTAATTCCATCTCCTCTAAAGCTGATGAATATGAAAACAAATTGCTCTTTGTCCTCTTAGAAGAATTCGAGTGAAGAGATTTATATTTATTCAACAATGCGGACTTCGATTCAATATCAGTTATTTTATTCCGCATTTGTGTTTCAGCTGACAATGAAATCCTCAATCATTTTGTTTTCTAAACCGGCTTCAGTTCTGGTTTGGCTGAGGCAGTTTCCTAGGGAACACCTTTATAATCCTTATCGTATTCAAACAATGCTTTTACCTTTTTATGGTGAACACTGAAAACTGGCGAATAGCCAAGGTTAGCCTGAATGACATGCATTAAATTAACATGCATCTCTATTTCTACATCAGTAGTTTACAAGCACTTGCATGTGGACATCAGAATAAGGACGAGACATCTGGTACATCAGCTGAGTCAGCATTCCAAACGCTTGACATCAGCTTATACCATTACGTGCATCATCACGCGACCACATGCATCGCCTCCGGGCGCCTTACTTGATGGGAGAGTAAAAAGCCGCCCACTATTCACAATATTCGTGTCCAATCTGTTTCCATTCTTAACCAACCAAGTTTATGATGTTAAGAGACATGAAGAAACTACTACTTTATTTATTATTATTATTATTATTATTATTATTATTATTATTATTATTATTATTATTATTATCATTATCATTATTTTTATTATTATAGTGGAATGTGTGAAGATTTGTAAATAGGTTTTCTGAGGAGATTTCAATAAAGTTCTTGTTATCATTAAATCATTATTGTTATTATTATTATTATTATTATTATTATTATTATTATTATTATTATTATTATTATTATTATTATTATTAT